AAATTAAGTTTAAATTATAACGTAAAAAATAAATAACTTACTCCCTATAATATTATTGATTATTAAATATTTTTTAAATATAAATTAACTAAATTTAAATTAAAATATAATAAAGTTAAATGGTTTACAATCTAAGTATTATTATTATTAAATTTTTTTAAAAAAAAAATATTAATTATTAAATTATTATATAAATAAATAATAGATAATAAATTTATTACCATTTAAATCTTCTAATGTAAGAGTATCTGAATCTGATTCTATTATAATATTTATTTTAGAAAAAATTTTAAAATTAATATTAGTTGTATTACCTTTATCAATTAAAAATGTTTCTATTTTTGAATTTCAAACAAATGATTAACGGTATATATTACCTTCTAATGAGAAAGCTTTTTTAAATCTGAAACTTGCTCTAATATAAATTCATGAAAAAAAAAGATTAAAATATTATCAAACCGTCAAATTAACTAATTTTAGTCATACAAAGCTTAATTCCTTTTATTCTTTTTTCTTGTTTTGATGAAAATATTTTTTAGTTTCTTTATTATACTATTACCTTTATAGTTATTATTAAACATTTTTATAATTTATAAGAAATAAGCTTTTTTTTTAAAAAAAAATTATTTTAATCAAATTACTTATATAACGATAATAGAATGTAATAGTAATAACATAATATTGTCAAGGAGATCTTACCGTTTGGTATGTGAGGCACAAGAAATAATTATAGTATTGAGGATCTGTGTTACGGTAAAAAAATTTTAGTTTTTAGACGATTCGTGTAACTTCAACGACCGACCATTTTTATATACCTTATTTTTACCAAATACTAACACTAACACCACTAACACTGACACTAACACTAGGAGATAGAGGATAAGGTAAAGGTAGGTAGGAGAGGAATCTACCCCAAGGAACAAAGGTTGTTTAAATATTATTTTTTTTTCAAACAAAAAAAAAGGATTTGGATCTGCGCGACGGCACAGTCAGGTGCATAATCAAAATTTTTTTCTACTATTATGTATTGTCTATTCCTATTGTTGATTATTGATTTAGTTAATAATAGGTTAGATCAGTAGATTTACCACTTTGGCTTATTGCAAAGGCGCAGTCAGGTATGTTATATTGTCTATTTTATTGTTAATTAATATTCTTTTCGATTTTATAGGTTAGGCCGATTCCGCGAATGCGGGCGCAGCACTTCGGATGGACCCTTCGGCTCGTCACGGCGATAACTTAATAAAGGATATATTACAACTAAAGACCATAACTAGCGGCGACAAAGTCGCCGCACGCCAACCTAATTTAGTTGGTAACTAAAAATAACCAATGGTGATAATTTGAATCGGTAAAAATTTTTTGTTCTAATTAGATAAAAAATAATTTTTTTTGCTTTCAAATTTTATTTAAAAATTAGTTAAAATACAATACAGCCGAGTGATCTTTTTGGAGTAAAATTTTAAAAGTTCAACATATTGAGCTTTATTAGCAAAATATGATCGATATACCGCATAGAGGAATAATGGCGGTCGGTTACCGAATATAATAATTCGAAAATTATAATCGCAAATCGTAAATTGATTCGATTCCAAAATTATCATCTTCTTTTGGATCTATTGTTGCAACTGAAGTTCTGAATTGAGGAAACTATTAAGCTTTTGTTTAATTTTCTGGAAGCTTATTATCACTTAAAATTCGATTTATCCGATTTCGATTTTGGCCAGAATTTTTTTAATTCTGACTGGAACTAAAGAATTCGTCATTTTATGGAAATTGAAACCGAAACCAAATAACAAGCAAGATCCTAAATTTAACTAAGGCCCTTCCTAAGAAAGATTTTAATGACAACTATTTATTTGCACGATTTTCTTGTGTAGTTATCATATAAGGTGACACGATAAGATTTGAAAGGGTAAGATAGAATTTTTATTCAATTATAGGATTTCGGAAGTTTATACTCAAGTATCTTCTACCATACTCAAGTCGTACTTTATATGAAAAGTTCCAAATTCTAGCTTTACTATAAGATAATTAATAACAATCTGTAATCACTTTTTTTATTATACAAAATTTATTTATCAAATTTGTGTTTGAATATTTTATAAATAGGGTTAGATCGCTTATTCAACCCACAAACATATTTCGATGAAACGTGGTCACGCTCAAAAAAAGATTAGTCAGAATTAAAGTTATACGAATAATATAAAGATAAAGTAAATTGCATTCTAAACATTAGATTATAAAATAAAGTTGTGCAGAAATAACATTATGCAACATTAAAAAAATTTTATTTAAATATGCATTCCTTCACATTGAATTTTAACTCTAAACGCTTCTGTATTAATTTGAAGCATAAAATTTCCTCTTTTTTGTTTTAAAGAAAGATCGTTAATTAATTTAAAAAGATGTCTGATAATATTATGAGGTTCGAAATTGTTAATCAAAAATATGGATTATATCCTGATTGCAATTAATCAAATACTTAATATAATTAGTGTCAAAATTACAATTCTAGAAAATTTCAACAAGATTTTTATAAATGGACTAGTGGAAATAAGCTTATTGATAAATTTATTCAAGATAGACGATTAAAAACAAAAAAAATCAGTAGAATTTATAGAATGGATACCTTATGAAAGTTTTAGAAATATACAATACCTTTCTAAAGGCGGGTTCAGTACTATTTATAAAGCTATTTGGTTATATATGTATTTTATATATTTGACTAGTATTAGCAAGTGAAGTTTCTATCTGCTTAAAGACGAAGATTATACAAAAAGTAAATCTATTAAATCACTTCTTAAAGAAAATAATAATATTGAAAAAAATGTTATATTAAAAAGTTTAGACAATTCATCAAACATTAATGAAGATTTTTTAAATGACTTTTTTTTATAATCTAATAAAGTAATATCAGACTATTATTTTTTATTTTATTAATTTATTATTTTAGTAGAAAAATCATTTAAAATTTGCATATTTAGCTGAAAAATAATGGTTATTACCATTAGAGTATTTGGAATAACACAAAATCATAAAACTTTAAATTATATAGTTGTATTACAGAAAATGGATCAAGGTAGTTTGTAATCTAATTTATTAATAAAAAAATATAATTTACATGACAAATATTTATATTTATTTACTATTACAAGAATGTATTATACTTTACATGTATGTAATTTAATTTATGGTAATTTCTATAGTGAAAATATACTTTTAAGAAATGTATGTATTATAAATACAGTAATTTTGGATTAAGAAAATAGCTAATAAATCTAATAAATTGAATAAACTTTATGAAATAATTCCTTATATGACACCTAAAATTTTGCATGGTAAATCATACACAAAAACTGCTGATATATATTCTCTTAGCATTATAATGTAGGAAATGACTTCTGATATTTCCACTTTTATTATTATACCTTATGATTTTAATCTTTTCTTAGATATTTGTAGAGGAAAAAAACTAGAAGTTGTTAAAGATACTATGACTGAATATGCAGAATTAATGAAAAGATGTTAGAATCCAAATGCTAGTAACAGACTATCTGCTAAAGAATAAGTAAGAGACTTTGTTAAATAGAAGAATATATATAATTATAAATTTAAAAAGAAATTCTATACAGGTAATATGAATTTCAAAATTATAATTTTTTTTATATAATTTAGTATTGTAAAAAAAACAAAGGTCTGCCTAAACATATCGCAGAAATTATCATATAACAAATAATGACCTGCTTAACCTGATCCGCTCGTATTAATTACATTCAAATAGAGATTTTATTAGTATTGCAGTCTTTTTTGAGTCAAGCTTTAGCAATATAATTAATTGACAATTTCTGAAAAAAGTATAGATGTAATGAGTATCATGAAAAAAACTGTGTTCCAGTATATATTCTAAATTTGTATTTTTAATTTATATATAGTATAGTACGTCAGTTTATAAATCCCCCTTTTTTTTTAGAAAAATGGAAATTCCATTCCAAAATTCAAAATATAAACTGAAATGTTATACTGTTATAAATATCTAAAAAAATAATAAATATGTGAAATGATATTATTAATATGATTTATACAAAAAAAAAGATTCTGCAAGTAATTTTTTTTTACCTTCTATATTTCAAAAAATATTTTAAGATTATGGTAGGTTAATAAATATAATGATTACATAATTATAAATATAAAATTCATTTTTATTCAAAAAAAAACTTAAAAACATATGAATATGTTTACTATCGCGTTAGTTAATGACCAAATATTTATAAATAAAAGTTTTGGGACTTTTAATAGAAGTACTGTAATTGTTTGATATCAGAAATTTTATATCACAAATAATTCATATTCAACATGTTCATCATCATCTCAAGAGTTAAATAATAATTACTTATAGGAAATTCATTCACAGTAGATATTCCTAACCTCTAAGGCAATTGCTATGCTATCGGCACTATCAGATTGTTCGCAAATGTCAGAAATGTCAGTACTAATCAAATTAATAGAAATTTCTCAGCGCCAATCAAATTACAGTATTAGCGTCATGAATATTTTTTTCTATAAAGGACTTTATGTATTTTAAACTTTTATATGTGGACTAAAGGTTAGAATTGGCTGAAAATTCTTTAACCGGTTAATAACCGTTAAAATATTTATTAACCAATTAATTAACTGGTTAAAATTATCTTTGTAAATTTAGCTAAAGTTAGACAATAATTTGCAATCATAAAAATCTTAATTTTGGCCAAAAAATGAATTTTGGCCAGATTTAAATTAATCTATTTTAACCGGTTAAAAAAAATCTTTAACCGGTTAACATGTTAACCATTTTAACCAGTTAATTAATCAGTTAAAAATTAACCAGTTCCAACCTCTAACATAGACATAAACAATCATTTCACATAGTAAAGAAATGAGAAAAAGTTTAATGAACTATTCATTGTTAAAGTTATAGCTAATTTTATAAATCACGAGATAACTGATAATAACCAAGACTTTTCTGAGAATATTTATAAGGAGTTGAAAAGCCAACCACAGTTTTATATAGGTAAAAAATTATGTCAATATATTTAGAACAATGATTTGAACGTAGCAATAATATTTTTTATTCAAAAAATTCTATACTGAATTTTACTGAGTTTTTTTATCGAGTAAAAAAAATTGAATACGTATTTATTTTTATATTTGATTAGTTTTTAACTGATTTATAAATTTGATTAGCTCTGAGAAATTTCTAATCATTTGATTGGCACTGAAATTTCTGAATAATCTGACAGTGCCGATAAAAATTTACATTTTTGAAACTGACGAATATCAAATCTGATTCCAACCTATATTTAAAACTAACAAAATTTTTTTTTTATCATATCATCTCGTCGCAAATAAAAAAATGTAGATTGCTTAATAAATTATATATACAGTATACAGGGGGTATAAAAAGTATTGAACATATGATATGATCCAGATGTAACACGTATAATTACACATTTGTCAAATCAAGCCATATTTTTTTTCTATTTTTAATTAGTCGTGATTGTTATATAACAGTCAAAATAAATAAAGCCTCATTGTTAAGATAAAAAGTGAGTTATATGTATTGTACAAAAAAATTCTACTTTATAGTTAAAAAAATTTTGCCACCACAAATATGTCTTGAAAAAGAATTTAGTAAAAGCTAAAAAGAGTGTATCATTAAAAAGTTAGACAATACAGATAGCAGAATTTCTGCAGTTGTCAGTTGTTCTATTTCTTCTGTACAGCGTATATGGAGGTCATATAGGCTAAAAGAAACTCCAAAAAAATGAACAAGTTGACCACGAATTTTTGATGAGTTTGAATATAAAGAACTCAAACGTGAAGAACTCAAGCATTCAGTAGTTATTAATAAAAATCCCACTGTCAAACCCTTTCTCAAATACAGTTAAATATTATAAATGAAACAAATAAAACTATTTCTACATAAACCATTCATAAAGAATTAGCTGAACAAGATCTTTACTCATGCATTCCTCATTTTAGTTTATTAATTTTTAAAAGAAATAAAGAAAAACAGTTATTTTAGGCTCGTACTTATGAAAATTGGACAGTAGAGATTTTAAAAAAGTCAGTTTGGTAAGACAAGTCTACTTATACAATTCAGAACCTTAAGTTTTGAGCAGGTATAGCGTGAATCATCTGAAGAGTTTTATTAAGACTGCATTGCAGCTATAGTCTAAAAAAGCTTTGGTCGCATATTTTGGAAAGTTTCTTCTGGGTCGGTATAAGTCCTTTGGTCCCTTTAGTTAGTTGCATAACTGAAAATACACATTGTGAAGTTCATGCAAAAAAATCAAAAAAAATTTTTTATTTCAAGAGGATAACGCATCTATTCATACCGCAAAAGTAGTTTATTTTTTTCTCAAATCCTCAAATATCGAATTACTTCCCTAACCAGCTCAAAGCCTTGATATTAATCCAATAGAAAATATTTGGTCACATATTGAGGTTAGAATTTGTAAATATGATTTACAACCATTAAGTATTGCACAATTAAAATAGTGGGTTAAGGAGGAATGGGATGCAGTATCCATAAATTATTATCATAATTTAATTAAGTCTATGTTGCATCAGGTTCAAGCTATTCTTGCAGCAAACGGAAGTCCAACAAAATATTAACCTGTAATTTAATAAAATAAAAAAAAAAATAAAGTTTATATATTAGTTATTTTGTAATACTATTTTTAAGAGATGCTCAATACTTTTTATATCCCCTGTACATACAATTTGCTTATTTTGTAAAACAAAAATAATAAATTTTTAAAATTCAAGAATTGTATTTTTATAATGATGAGTTTTACCATCTGTTAAAACTTTTGTCACCCGTCAAAACTTTCACAATTTTGCTTTTAATAATAATATTTTGCAAAACATATCAACAGGTTTCAATTTCAATACCTGTCAAAATCTCTGGGTTTTACCTGGCAACCTTAAATGTGGTTAAATATTTTTTTTAATTTTTAACATTCCGCACATTCATAGTTGATTATGTTCTAAACTAGACTGAACTGGACTTCAGAATATAGTAAGGATGGTCCTGCTAACCAGTCTGAGTGTGGTCCTACCAGGACTAATTCATCTTTAAGGAAATGGCAAATCTAAAAGAATTTATTTTAATGGTAATAAATTGTTTTACGAATTGCAATTCAATAATGCTTATTTATCATTAAATTTTTTTTTGTTATAAATTGGAGACTTATATTAAATTTAAACTTAATAATAATATTGATTATTATTGCAAGTCATTAAATTCTTCATTTTTAGATATTTTAAATTAAATATTACTTTAGGAATTCATATAAAATTTGATAATATATTAAAAGAAATTGCAATTAAATGATAGTGAGGAATATATAACTAATTTATGAACAAAACAATTTATTTTATTATCTAATTTAATAATTAATTATTAAGCTATACCATAGAAGATGACATATATAATTTCATTCAGGAGATAAAGATATCTTTTATGGTTAAGTAAGTTACTGAATGGTTATTGAGATAAGTATTTATTAAAATATTTGATTTTTGGGCATTATAATTATCTGGTTTGGTAATTTAAATGTCTAATTATAAAAATTAGCAAAGTATTTTGCCATTTGCATTAATAAAATTTTTAAAACTCAATAAATTAAACTTTTCTTTATTCAAAAAATTAAAAATTAAATCACATGGTTGTTTCACAATAGAACATTTATTCATTTTTTTTTTATGAAAATGGGCTAAATGATAGTATGATTAAAAAAAAAAATATTAATTATATTTTTCTTTAATTTAGTTGAAAGAATAATTATTAATTAATAAAGACCTTGTCTAGTTTCTTTTATTTAAAAAAAAAAATTAAAAATGCGATCAATAAACATTGCATTACTGTTAAACGGTCAATCAATTAGTTAAAATCGATCCGTTAACCGACCATGACCTCTGGGGTACGTTATTAGAGATTTTTGACAATCATTTTGATTTACCGGTTCAATTGGAATTTTTGACAAAATTTAAAAATTCGATAACTTTCGTTTGAATTAATATTTAGACGAAATACAAATATAAATAAATACATAATTTCTTAAAGAATAACATGACACCTCGCTTTTTTGAAAAAAAAACTGAGGAAAAAAATTTTTACTATTGAAAAACAACTTGGAAATTAACCCTAGTGTGAACGATCTTTTTTGAAAAAAGTAAGCGTTTATCATAAAGGGACAGTTATTTTGAATATTTTTGTGAAATTATAACGAAGATAATAAAAGAATCCAGAGTTATGGGAGCACGAAAATATGCTAATTTTAATAGAAATTTATTATAAAGACGAAAGTTTAATTATAGTACTATAGTTTAATCTTAAGCTTTTATACGATACCTACATAATTTTGATTTAATTAGTTGATGAAACACCCCAATGAACTACCCTAGTTGATGGATATTTTCTCGTGCTAATAACGCAATTCAAAAGTGATCTCAAATCAGCATATAAAAAATTGCGCTCGAATTGGTATGTACGGCGTATTCATAATAACTATGCGCTGTTTCACTTATTCTTTATATTCCAAATTCGTTAAGAATAACAAAGTCCGTTCGCATATTTTGACATTTTCAAACGCTTCTCTGTTAAACATAAGTGAAGTAAAGAAAAATAGTTACCTAGGTTCACCATTAAATATGGCAAATAAGATCCTAGATCTATGAAAACTTATATTGTGGAGCCCACTTTGCTCTAAACGCATTTACAAAGCCATAATCAAAATAATTCTTAATGTTCTCATTTCAATGCAATGTGTACGACAATTAGAAATTCGTTATTTATCTCGATGTCAGTGTAATCGTCGTCAATTGTGTCATCGTTGTCGTTGCCGTCTTATTCTTCGTTGTTATCCGTCTACATTATCCCATCTTCTTATCGTCATCATTAAGGGTTATTTAACATCTCCCTTGATGCAGATAAGTATAAAATGACATTTTGGAAAGAAAATACATATAATATAGTAAAATGATTCGAATAACCCATATATTTGGTCTTTGATGGCGTTGCTCTTATTCTCTTCCAATTAACAGGTTACTTTACAATCAAATTGTCATTATTTGTTGGGAGATGCTACTTTTCCCGCTACTTTCCAGGCCAGGATGCTGATAGGTCGATTTTTCATCGATTCTTGATCGTCAGGTTTCAGAACAGGTAGGCAGATTTTTGAAAACGTTAAAAAAAAAAAAAAATTATTAAAATTAAAAATAATGATAAAATTGATTAGTGACGCATCAAAATTAGAATTGAAGCGCTGTCAAAGGTTTACTACTTTTTTTGATCGTGTTCTAGTCTTTAGAAAAAGGTGGTGATTACATTTATATAGGATTATCAATTGTTCCAGCCAAAATAGGTATTAAAAACCTTCATTATAAAATCGAATTTGACGGTTTAGTTTAGAAATATGCGTAATGCAAGAGATAATTGGACATTAATTATCCCAATTGTGTGAATTATTATATATATTTTTAAGCGTGGCTTCGATTTCCATGGGTGATTGATGTTTACGACGAAACATATTCATAGAGATAAATTCTATGAACGAGTTTATAAACTTCGTCTTAATTTTTGGATTCACTTTTGTCGATCTTTAACAATGTGAATTTGTGTAACAATAGTAGCACATCATTTATGTCAAATAACTTTTCATCAAAAAAAAAAAAATTTCGTGAAATAAGAGAGTTGAGAAATGGGCTGATTCGTTGCAGGACATGAAAAAATCGTTTCAATTAGAAAAAGTATTTTTATTTATTCTACGATCCATAATTGTAGCCACTCATTGCAAAAAAAATCAGTGAAAAATCTATTTTTTTTTTTTTTTTTTTGTAAAATGATTTTTATTGAGAAATAAAGGCTAAACTATAAGTAACATATTACATTTGGGACCCAAAGATCTGATTTACGAATGTTCCTTCCTTAAGTGTGCCTAGCGAACGCCCTGCTTTGATTATTTTAAAAAACATTAACAGATGCATGGTTTTTACGCCCACACATTACCGCTTCGCACATATGAGTACATGCATCGTGCTTATACAGTTATTTCTCGGAAAAAATGTCCTTATCGTTATCATTGATCTATTAGAAGAAAAACAAATTATACCAATCGAAGAATTAATTATTGCGGAATCTTCTCGCAATAATCGCTTGCGACCTGGTTCGGTTCTGAACATTTTCACTAAAAAAAAAAAAAAAGTAAAACTGAGTAAAAAACATTTGGCATTCCTGTAACCGAAGCAACAGAAAGAGGTCTTTCAATACAATAGGAGCGGTTGGTAGTCACGAACGATCTATACGACATCATGGAACCTCCAAACAAGTAAAACATATAAAGACATGCAGTCCAGTTGGAATATTCTAGTACATTAGGACGGCTTGACATCGTAATTATATTGTAGAACAGGAAATATTTACATTCATATGACCACCTGGTTTTTTTTTGCGTTTTGAAAAATGGAATAGAAAAGGGCGAAAAATAATAAATTCCAAGAAACGTAATTAGAAATAAAACCCACACATATTTTTAGAATAGATTTATATTGTTAATCCTGTCTTGGAATGCTGAAGTCGCTGCCGTCTTAGAATTTGCTACCGTAGTTAAAGGGCCGCCAACAAATGTCGAAATTTTAAAGCATTCTTTTCTTTTTAATATGTAAAAAAAAGTTAAGAGTTTAGCTTCTCATGCAAAACACTTAAAAAGTAGTCTTTATCTATCGCGTAATTCTCTAAATTGATAAGATCCATATGTTAAAATGAATTCCTATCTACAAAATTGAATACCGGCTGGCATTCACTGTTGTCTAAAGCTTACAATAATAAAAATGTAAAAAAATTAATATATAAAATAAAATAAAAATAATTATTTTATTTATTCTTTTTTTCTAATTATATACTTAATAAAGTGATTTTCCTATAATAATATAAAATAGTAAAATATTTTTCTAATTTTTCTAATAATAATAATATTTAAATATATAATCTAAACTCTACTATCCTTAAAAAAGTATAGTCAAATAAAAAAAAAAAATATTAATTTATTTAAGAATTTTAAGAATCTAAAGTTCACAGTTTTATGTATTTATTTAATATCATATTTTTAAATTATAACATATATAATACAAATTCATTATTATTTAAAAAATGAAATTATATTATAAATTTTACAATCATATAATAACATGAATATATATTTATTATAAAAACCTTATAAAAACTTACTAATTTAGTTAAAAAATAATAATAATAATAATATAAGATAATAATAAAGCTTTATATCAAATATTTATTAAATTAGATCAGAAAATAATAATTAAATTTTCATTTTATTAAGGTATGTATTCTTTACTATAGTTGATATTTTATTTATAAACTTAGTTTTTTTAAAATAATATAATAGTAATAAAATATTTATTTATATTTATATTTAGTTTTTTTATTTTAATATTTATATTAACATCAATAATTAAATTTATCTTTTAATTATTTTTAAATCAACAAAATAAATTCAGTTTTTATCATTATAAATAAAAAATATATAATTATAAAAGATATTTATTTAATATATTATTTAGTTATATTATTATAATAAATTAAATTAATAAATCTCTTTTAATAAATATTAAAAATTTATAATTATTATTTTATTATTAAACAAATAATAAAATTAAAATTAAAATTTTTTAGATTAATATTAAATCTTAAATTTTAAAATAACTGACTATTACTTTTTTTATTATTTTAAGAATTTATTAAATAAAATTTTTTAACAAAATGAAAAAATTATTATTTATCAAAATTATAAATATTTTATTATAATTTTTTAAACTTTTAAATATATAAATTTTTATTCTGTTTTACTATTATTTAATATAATTTAATTATATAATTTTTTATTTTATTCAATTATTCTAAAATGAAAATATTATAATTTAGTTTTAAAATTTTTCTAAATAAATAATTTATTATATTTTGATAGATATACAATTTTAGACAATTCTATTAATATTTTAAATTTCTTATATTATAATAATCTATTAAATTAAATTTATTATAAAAATTTTTTTGCAAATTTTACATTTTGATAATTTTAAAATGTATATTTTATAATTTTTGCATTATTAATCTAGAGATTTTAATTTAAATAAAATTAATATTTAATAAAAATAATAACAAATCTTAATAAATAATTAGTAAAACTTAAACTTTAAATATTTTATAATACAGAAAGTATATCCTTAATAATATAATATAAAACTTAAAAATCCTTCAACTCTTTAAAAAATAAAATTTAGAAAAAATAAACTAGTAACTTTATTCTTGAGATAAGTTCTATTAAATTACTGATCAGTTTTTCAAAATAAGTCTATATAAAAAGTTATAAGCATTTAAAATTGGTTAATTTTTATATGATTGTCCTAAATTTGAAACATATATTATTTATGATAATTTAAGCTAATATTATAGTAATTAATCATAATATCAGCCTAAATTATTATAATTTTAAAATAATACACTATTTTTCATTGGTTAATTACTAATCACGTAATATAAAATTCACAAAAAATTTTAAAATATTATTGAGTTAAGATTTTCAGTATCATATCAAATATAAAATAAATTTAGTAACAAGTAATCTTAATAAAAAATATATATAAGATTAAAAAAATTAAAAAAAAATTAGCTCAATTAGAATCAAAAAATTACAGTAATTTTTAAATGTAATAGTTTCAATATTAATAATATTTTTTTTATAAATCTATAAAAAGGATACTGTTATAATTTTTATTATTAATAATACATTACTTCAAAAATATCTAATTATTTTATTATCATTTAATTATAAAATTTTAATATACCAATTTTACTATTTAATTACTTTATAAATTATATAAAATCTATATAAGTACCTTATAAATTAAATTTTTTTAAAATAGTTATACAATTTATTTATATGTAATTAAAATAAATTTATATAAATTTAATGAAATATTTAATTTTATATTTTTATTTTATATATAATAATAACTTAAATTTTGACAAATAGTGTATATCAATAATTTTCTTAAATTTAGGAAGAAATCACATGTTAATCATAATTTCATTTTCTAGATCATCTTTCATCTTTTAGTAGTAATTGTTATAATTAGATATGAGAATAGTTATCCTAATTTTTAAGTTTATTAGAATAACTAGATAAACATAGTTTTAAAAAAAAATTAGTTATTTTTTACTAAAGATTTGAACAAAAATTAGTTCTTTAATATTCTTGATCAAATGATATTTAAACATTTACTTGTGGTGTAAATCTTTTAATTTAATTAAACATTTTCATCAGGTAAATTTAATCGGCCTTTTTCAAATATTTTCTTGCAGACATTACTTTACCAAAGCATGTTTGAAACGTTGAATCCAAAATAACTTTGCTTAAAACAATACGATACATTATCTATCTATTCAGGCAATAAACTGATGTTTTTGTGTTCAAAAAATATATATACATGTGTAAAGGGATCAAATGCATCACACTCTATTCTTGAATTGCGCGCAGTTTTTTCATCTATTGTCGATTGGTTACCCAAAAGATGAGAGCTAAACCATTTTGGGTAAGATCGTTTTTGTTCTCATTTTTCACATAGAACGAAACATTTTAAAATTATACTCAAAAGTATATCAACCCTAATCAGCCAACGCGCACGCACTTCTTGATAATCAAAAAAAAAACAAATAAGTGAAAATATGATGAACATTAATCAAAAAAATTCCGTTTTTACACAATACTTTAATGTTTACAAGTTTCAAAAAAAAAAAAAAAATTCAATTTGCACTCCGAGCATGTGAACCTTACACATCACCTTACACGGTGAAAAAAAAAAAAAAAAAAAAGATAATAATAGTGTACAATTCGTCGTTGATACTTTTTGCATTTTTGTTTATCTCGAAAAAAAAAAAAAAAAATCCTTTCGGCATAGATTTTCACATTAACTGGTAATCAATGAATAGTAAAAATAAAATTGGGGGTTCTTGTGTCATTTTTCCCTTATCTTATAGTTTTTACTTTTTCCATAAGAAAGAGACACGTGATAAATCTACCTGTTACTTACCTGAAAGGATTCCTGTTTATCATCATTTCACCTGCAAGTCTAATTAGCTGCTCAAAAAATTAAGTTTTCCTTTTGGTTTTACGCCAAATTTGGATCTTTTATTCCGATACAAACCTGCTGACCGTTGTTTGAATTTCAACTGAAATTGACAGATTAGAAGTTGGGCGGATTCATGTAAATGACCTTAATGAATCAATATCTGGTATAGTCTGGGAACATGAACGCATAAAACTTTTTCAAGTGTCACCACGGAACTCACGTGATGTTTCTTTTCTGACAAATCCGAAAATTTTTTGGTCGGTGCAAAGCGAAACTGCGACATTCCCGCGCCATGAGAGGAACGAACGCAGAAAATTATAAGCCTACGATAGCATGGCAAGCTTGTTTGAACATAAAAAGTTTACATAAAGAAATGAAAAATGCTTTGTTACATCAAATGCAATGTAACCTAAACACAAACCAACAGGGTTGACATACAGAATCTCCTTATATACATGAAATACCGATTAATTACATTTTTACTGTGCACAATGTGTCTTTTTTTTAAGCCCCAACTTATTAAACACACCTAAGCTGTTAATGGATCTATTCCACGAGATTTACATGTTATTGTACTAAGCTTGTTACAGTATTCTTGTTAACATTCTTGGTTTTTTTTTTTGATTATTTCAATCGTGTAACCAAAAGCGGAAAAGGGTTTAATTAAATTATGAATCCTGTTTGTTAGATGTTTATTCAACTTTCAATGTTCAACATAAAAAAAAAATTTCTCATAATCAAACACAATGCACTAAACTCTTTTAGAGTATTACATTGCCAACCACCGAATGTCACCGATGCACACTTACTCAATAACCCCAAAAATTATTCGTACGCCCTTGTCGTCTTTCATTCTTATATAAACTCCAGTTTTTCATTTGTACTCGAGTTGCATTTTTCTTGTAGTTATCAAGTTACGAATCAATTTATACTCTTAATTAAAAATAATTAAAATTTAATTCTTTAACAAAAAAAGTTCATTTTAACTTTGTTATCCGTGTGTAGATCACGAAATATTGAAACACCTTCACCGTTACAGGGAATCGCACAACCTTTTTGAAAAAAATTATTAAAAGCGTGGCACAATAATATAAAGCACAGCCTCTTGGATATTTACCCAAACATCAAATTTTCTATAAAAAAAAAAAACTTTTTTACCTCAAAATATTTTACCACTTTTTCCAGTACTGGTTTTTATTTTTCAGATAGATATTTTTTTTTTTTTTTCCTAATAATTTCAAAAAAAAAAAAAAAATGCAGTCACCTTCAATATTAGATTTTTCTCATCCACCTTCAAAGATAACTCCAAAGCAAGACTTTGAAAATCAATTTGAAACATATATGAAACAACAGAAAGTAGATAAAAATAATAATTCAGCCTCCAGTACTTCAACAACGTCTCAAGATATTCCCAGCGTTACGACGGGTTTGATGTACAAATTATCGGCAATAGCAGCATATACCACTACGATGGCTTCCGAAGCCTATAAAACTCTGACGGCCGTTGGAGCCATTGAACCAGAGTCATCCACCACGGGAACGGGGAAAAGAAGAGATTATAATAATAGTTATTTTAATGAAGATGTCATGCAAATAAACGCGGATGATTCGGATGGAGCTTACGACAATGATGAAATGAGCGACCTGGATATGGAATATAATGGTCGAGAAATAAATAAGAAAAACGATAAAAAGATGGAAGCTAAATGGTCGGTGAATGATGACGATGAACCTCCGCCACCGTACGATAGTATCTGCCCATCGGTAAGAAATTCATAATTTATTTATTAATCTATTTATCGTTATTTTTTTCATATTTGGTTACAATAGAATCGTTTTACTAAAATCATACTTTTTTTTTTTTTATTTGCAGTCAACTTCAACATATAATGCTGAAACATGTTCCAGAACAAAGAATTTGACGGAATCTCCAACTTCCTCATCTCCCAAACGTATAAGTTTTGCAACCCCTCAAGCAAGAAGTAAATCCACCCCACCATCATCGCCGAAAGATGTGAACTCGCAAACGTTGCCTAAACGTCGACAAATCCGGGTACGACGTAATCGAAGATTAATTCGACGTAAATCCTCATTAAATGAAGTTTCTACCCCACGAGCAGGAAGTTATGATGATCCAGACGAATTGTTACTAAAAGTGAACGATAAATTAAGTGATATGATAGCGCAAGGACGCGCAGCATTAACGAGTCAAGTTGATATAACAGAAGTTGATATGTTGTTGGCTGAGGAAAGAGAACGAGAGGAAAGAATAATGAAGGAATTTGGTCTTCAAACTCCCGTTGGAAGGAAGGGAAGGAAAAACGCAGTTTACTCCTCAGATTACGAATATTTCAACTCCATATCGGATGGCAATTATTCGGCTCCCGAATCTTCATTTTATGAGTATGGATATGATTCGCACAGTCGACATGGAAGTGGTGAATTCACATCCACTTCAAGATTTGAAGCCCCCGTTGGATTTCCTTCCAATGGAAATTTTAACGCACCTTCCCAATTTAGTTCACCGGGAATGTATCATACACCAGGAGTGTATAATTTTCCTTCCAATCTTGGATTCGGTTTAGGCAACAACAATAATGGTGGTAAAATTGCTGAATCATCTTCAAATGACTTCATGGGCACCATTCCAAATCGATTTCAAGGATCTTCTTCTTCAAATGGATTCAGCGATCACTCGATACCGAATGGATTCGGAAGCGGACCAGTTTCAGGAGGATTTGGAGGTTCTGTCAGGTTTGGAGGACAGCAATCGTTCGTACCAAATGTTGGTCCTTTTGTACAAAATAATAATAATGGTGGTTTCGTAAATTATGGCCAAGGTTTTGGTTCAAACACTGGATTTGGATCCAATGGAGCCTATGGAACAAGCGGAATGTATCATAAAAATCGGGAATTCATATATTAAATTTTTTTTTTTTTAAAAAGTAGAAATAGACATTATAATAATTTAGAATTTGTTAATTATATATATATTTTTTTATCATTTTTAGTTTTATTTTAAATATTTAGAAAGGATGGTTTATTAATGTGAGGGGGATAACTAAACAAAACATAATTATTTCTCTGTCACATTTTCGTTTTACAATACCGAAATATTTACACCACATTAATATAATTATTGTATTAATCATCCCGCTCTTTTGAAACCTTACCTAAAAATTTTTTGTAAATACTTCTTTTCCTTCTTCCCTCCCCCTTTTAAAAAAAGAAGAAAAAAAAAAGAATCTTGATCACCTACTTCTAATCTTACACTTTCAACAAATATATAAAACCACCTTCTTTGTAAATTTTAATTTTTTTTTTTTTTCCTGGCGTGGTTTTTTTTTTGCGTAGAATTGGAAAGTAGGTTACAAATTTTTTTTAAATTTTTTTTTTTTTTTTTTTTTTAATTTTTTTTTCCTTAATTGTTTTTTTAAATAGATGGTTTTTAGAAAAAAATTTTTTTTGGTTAATTTCTTGTCATAAATCTAATTTTTGAACACATTCCATTTGAAATGGTAATGGTAGTTTTATTGAAAAATAAAGATTCTTTTTACATTTATCGTTAAATTGTCCTTTGATCGAAGTTTTTAATGGTTTTTCAATTACAAGTTTTGTTTCGTAATAATCATATATTTGAGATATTTTATAATATAAATGTAACAACTAATGGCAAGGAAAAAAGAAAAGAAGCCATTCAAAATATAAACTAACTATTTTAAATGAAGATGTTTGTCACATGTTTACCAATGGGACTTTGAGACGATCGTTACAAATTATTGGCCATGGTTATCATTGAAGCCGTACCGGTATATCTATTTTTTTTTTTTTTTTTTTTCAAATTACTGTTGACTAAAATTACTCCAGAAAGATTGGACGGGATTTACAGCGATATCTGCAACAACCGAACGGGGATACCCGATGGATAGAAGTGGAAATATATGGTGCGAGGGTTTCAGCAAGAACAATGGTGGATGGCCCGTGTATCATTTACTCGATAAACATCAAAGTTCCGAGAAAATTAATGACTCTCGAGAAACTAACAAAATACCTATTCAAACATCTAAATCAACTGTCAACTTGGATAATGCTCTTGGAGGGAAATCCTATGTATCGTCTCGCAGCGTTAACAATCTCTTTTAAATCAAAACGTCAGAGACACCGTCAAAGAGTGAAGAAGATTTCGTTTGGAGCATCAACGATAGGTTCCACGACAACCAAACAAAAGATAGTGGGAATTCGACAGAAGTTCGACTCGGAGAACCAGCACATTCTTCCATGGGACGCGAATGGGAATCCGTTGATGAAAATAGAACCCCGGGATTACGGCAACTGTGCCGAAACCAACACGTGGCTTCAGTTATCCCTGTGGAGGAAAGACCTTCCAATAAGGATGCGTACAATTTCAACAGAAACACAACAATTGAAGTTGCCATACAAGAATTGTCAGCTGACGATGGAACACAATGCGAAGAAGATTTGCTCATGCTTCTTAACTTGTTGAAAAATAAATATCCATTTTGTGATGAGACGAACAAAAATCTTCTGTATGATTATGAATTCGTAGATTTGCTGAATTTTATAATATTACTGATTTTTGCCCTGTTCTTGCATGTTATGATTTAATTTTCTGGTTAAAAAGACCTTAATGGCATCATCTACATGTGGTCTCGTATAGACAAACTTTCTCTTTAACCAGGAGAATCTTTGCTACATTGAAGAGTATACTCATGAATTGATATCAGTGAAAAAAGTTAAAGATGAAGTTGATAAGTGTTATGAAGAGGGTAAAAAAACTGCAATTGTGGTAACTGATGAGCTATGAAAACCATTAAAAGATGAAAAGAAAGGACCAAAAAAAGGTGGAAAACAAAAGAAAGCGACAAAAAAAAAAGAATAAATAGACATTAATGCTGATTTATTTTATATGGTCATTTATAGTGTTTGCTTTATTTAGCTTTTTCTTTCAATGAATTCTTTTAATTAATGTAATAAAGATACATTACACATCAAAACCTAATATGGCGAAAATTTTATGTAATATGACATTTTAGTAGTGATTCTTTTGCAATTAGTGTATGACATGCTTTCAAGGAAGGGAGTACGCGTATCCTAGATCATTTAATACAAGTCCCTGCGCCATACTAATACATTGTTTTCTTACATTTTGGAAAAATTACTATTTCTATTGCTAATATTGCTAACTACGAGTTTCTCATAATCCCGCCCATTATTCAATTTTCGCTTGTATCTAGAGTTAGCAAGAGATACTGTATAAAATAAAATAATCCCGCAGGGAATCCACTCTTATTATTATACTTCAATAGCAATTCTACCCGGCGATGACTCGGGGAAAATAAAAAAAATATAAAAAATAAAAAAGGCTGGTGAGAAAAAAATAAAAAATAAATAAAAAAGATCGGAAAGAGGAAATAAAAAAAAAAAACAATGAAATTAAAAAAAAGACGAAAATATAAAAAAAAAAAAATGGACCGGAGGGAAAAATAAAAAAAAAAAGACCGGAGGGAGAAAGAAAAAAAAATAATTAAAAAAAAAAGATGGTGAAGGAATAAAAAAAAAAGGGGTCAGGGAAGGGAAGAATAAAAAAATATAAAAATGAAATAATTTAAAAAAAAAAAAAAAACCTGGGAAATAAAAAAATAAAAAAGGGGGAAAGGAAAAAAAATAAAAAAATAAACAAACCCGGGATAATCTATGCTTAGTTCAAACACTATGCATTAGGGCGACAATTAACTCATTCTGAAAAGATGCGGCTCGGTCAGTTAAGATCTCCTTTTGTGTTCCATGGCGACAGATTATTTCACTGTTTGAGTTTGAGAAGTACAATCAGGGGTTACAGCAGCTTCTACCCATTTGGTAAGGTATTCAATTCCAATACAGTCGAATGGTTGTCCTACTGATATTGGATGAAAGGTTCCAATTGTTTAGGTCTCCCTTTTCGTTGACATGTATCACATGTTTTATCCAATTGTTAATAGTTCGATACATGTTTGGCCAATAATACTTGGAGGCTATTTTATTGTAAGTGATATCGCGTCCTAAGTGTCCTCCTAATGGTTTGTTATGTTTGTTGTGAATAAGTGTTTCGACTTCGGTGATTTTAATGACTAATAGCGGTTGTGAGGGTTTTGATGATACAGTTGCTGGTTTTGAATAAAATATTTGAATGATTGTTTTCGAATTTCAAGTTGTTGTGCAGAGGTGATATTAGATGGGTAAGTTAAAGTTGCTAGGTCCATTTTGGTAGTTAGAACTGTCAGTCATACTGCTGACACTTACGCTTTCACTCTAAAACTTGCTAATATTCGGTTGTTGCTATGTAGAGATGGAAGAAAGTCAAGATAAGGTATCCACGTTTGAGTGTATCTCATAAATTTCATTGGCGGGTCAGGTTTATTAAATAGCTTATAGAGTAAATATGACCTAAAATGTTCAATTCCCTAAATTGTGTTATTAATAATAAAAACTTCTACTTGAAGTCGGGGTATATTAAGATCAGTGCTATAATCAAACAATTTTTCAAATGTTCGAATACTTCCTGTTAAGCTAAAGTCCATAAAAAAGGACTTTATTTACGCAGTAATAGATGTAAGAGTGCAGCCTTAATGAAGAATTCTCGAATAAACTTTTGATAATAGGATATTAGCACAAGAAATCCTTTAATTTCAGTTATGTTTTTGGGAGTTGGAAAATTCTTAATTTTATTAATTTTGGAAGTATTTGATAACATTCCTTACTCACTAACGATGTGACCTAAGAATGCAAGTTCTAATTTACAAAACTCGCATTTATCCTTACTAAGCTTCAATCTTGTCTTTCTTAGTTTATCAAAGATATGCTTTAAATATTGCAAATGTTTCAATATTTCGCAAAAGTTAATATTTTGCAAGAGTTTAATATTTCGCAATAGGTTAAATATTTTACAATAGTTTAAATAGTATTAATTGAAGTTTTACATTTAAAATAGCAACTTTAATAATAATATATAATAAATCTTCTATATAGTTACTTTTTTATATAATCATTTCTCTTTTATAAATATATTTTTATTAAGCTAAAATTAATTACACTAACACCTCTATAAGTGCTGAGTGTAGTTAGAAAACCTCTATAAATATATTCATATAATTTAGATTAATATTCAAATATTCAAAAATTTGTTACATCATAAAAATCAGCGATTTAATCTAAGAAATATTCTTTAGATTCAAAGATGATTTTGAGATTTGAATGTAAAGAATTCATTTTTAAATATCTGATTCACAGATTCTATAAATAGATATTCAAATATCTTTTTGAATAGAAGTTCTAATATTAACCAATTATAGCTAATAATTAATTAGTCACAATTAATTTTAATAAAAGTTTAAAATAAAATTTATGATGACAATTTTGTATATGTTTTTTAAAAATAAAATTTATTAAATAAATTTTTATATCATATATATAAGTATGAGATTCTTTTTTTGCTTGATCAATTATTTTAAATTAGTATAGCTAAAAAATATTAATGAGAAAATAGCGTTCATTAATATAAACAAATTACTATAGAATAAAAAGTAAAAAGTTTGATTCTATTATATATGTAAATTAAAAAAAAATGATTTGTCATTATTTAATAATATTAAAATCAACCATATTAATATTTCTAAAAATATCTCTTAAAAGAAATTACACTTTTTAAAATTCAAAAGAAAAAACTTTGTATTTATACTTAAATAATAAAAAATCTAAACTTAATATATTAGAAAAATAAAAAGTTAGAGTTAACAAAAGCATTATTACTAATATCTTATAAATAGCAAAAAAATAACTTGATTAAAAACTATCAATTCAAATTTAAAATACCATAAAGCAGTTACTTATCTAAAGTTTGAGCTTACTCTCAAAGAATTCATTTTAAATTACTAATATATAATAGTTTTAAGTGATATAATACTTTTGAAAAAGCAAAATGATTACTAATAATTTAGATATTTCTCAAGATACTTCAAAAATTACAATCTTCACTAATAAAAGCTTAAAGAATAAGTATTTTCTATTAATAAAACTACTATTGCTAATACTTTACCCTTATTAAAAGAATATTATTTTAACTATCCTCTTGAAAAAAAACTATAATATAAATGAAATAGAATTTTTATATAAGTAAATCTTTTAAAAATAAATATAATTTATTTTACTTATCTTGTAAAGTATTAATAATTTATAAGTTAGAATATAATTAAAAATTCACAATAATTATCTACTAGATGTAAATAAATAAAAAACACCTTTTAGTTACATTATGTATAAATGCTAATAGTTCATATAAATTAAATTTTTAATCATTAGAAAATTTAAAAGGCTGCATTACTTTAAAAATATAAGAATTTAAACTATGTTAATGTCATATCATAGTAATATCAAAATTGAATTATCACATCATTTTGTTAAAAATAGTTTAAGAAATTTGATCATCAAGTTAATCTAAAGTATAAAGATCAATGTGTATTACTTCTCCTTAACAATTGTTTCAGTTATAAGCTGACTAACCTTACTTTATAATTATACTAATATCCTTTGAATATAACTTTAAAAATTTTAACTAATAGATATTAGAATAATTATATTTTTCAAAAGACACTATTATAATTTTTATATATAGTAAGTAAAATATTAAATTACTTTATAATTTATCTTATAGTATTTAAATCTAATTGATTATTTTATAAATATAATATTATAATATATAGAAAGTAGATAATTGTATAAAGGAATTGTACATTAATATCTTATAAGTAATTTATTTTATAATTCAAGTTAAGGTAAGATTAATACTAAAAAATTAATAATTGCTAATATTATATAAAAATTCTTTTCAATGTAAATGTAAATTTTAGAAATATTTCTAAAGATATTCATTAAAATAAAAACTTATTGCTTAATAATCTCACAAATTCACTTAATATTCTTAATCTTTCCTATTTAATATAAACAAAAAAGTTTCTTAATATACCAGAAAAGAATATTATTTTGAAACTTATAAAGATAATCAATTTATCAAAGAATTAATATATCTCCTTGAGAATATAAGAAGAATATGAATTTAGATAAAGTAAATGATAGTCATAAAATCTCTATTATTATCTTAGTATTACATTTGTTAGCTTAGAAATTGTATATATATTATTACTTTAACAGGATAATGCAGAAGAATATGTTAAATTTTAAATTTTTTAGAATTAAAAAGACAAACTTAATACAATAAACTAATATTAATACATATTTTATTAAAAAATAATTCTTTTTTTACAAAATATATTACTTTTTATATTAAAAAATAAATTAAATTTATCAAAAATAAATAAATAAAAATATATATAATCAGCTTAAATACATTAAGTTTAATTTATATACTATTTAAATAAATTTTTTTAATTTTTTAATTTGTGTAATAACATCTATTTTTTATTGGTTATTCTATAAATACATATTCTTAATAATAAGAAATTAGGCTTTTTAACACAAATAGTTCAAAATACAGAGGGTGGACAAAAGTTTCCGAACACCCTTATAAATGCAATTTAAAAAATTTTTATCATATAATTGTGATACCATACTGCAATCATATGACCGTCTATTATTTATTTACATAATCAAAATAAAAAAATTCGTGTTTTTTTTGTTGTTTTGATTTAATTCACTTAATCTCTACCAAATCGAAAAATAATGGGACAAAATAAAGAATTAACCAAAAAACAACACAGAGCCATATTTTACTTAGCCAGCCTAAAGTCCTGATCATAACCCAATTGAAAATTTATGGACTAATATTAAAAAAAACATTCGTGCATATTTAAAAATTACCATCAAATCTTGCTGACCTCAACCAATATGTTAAAAAGGCATGACGAGAAATTCTGATGCATACTATTGAAAATTTAGTCGATAGCATACCACAGCGAATTCAGGCTGTAATTGCGGCAAAGGGAGGCCTAACCAAGTACTAAAAGTTTAATACGAAATGTATGCCTTAACCAGCTCTAAATAAAATAATATTAAAACTTTTACTATTAATGCTAAGGAATTATAAGTTTTATATTTAGTGAAAAAGTATCCGGAAACTTTTGTTCACCCTCTGTATATTAATTTATAAGTTAAAGGATTATATTTTATTGCTAATGCTTTGATAAATTTATTCATTACTTCAAATATTCTTATACTACTTAAAGCATTTCTGTTAAAGCTAATAAATTATATATATGAAGCTTTGATACTAGAAGTGATAAGCAGATTAATTTAAGAAGATTACAATAATAATATAACTCTAGAAAATACAAGAAAAATCATGGTTAAAAGTATAGAATTTGGAGAATATTTGCATTGTGATGATGATAAGTAATGTTTTACTTTGAAATTATAAAATTTGTTAGATTAAAATATCAGTAATAGTCTATAGAGTATAGATATAATATATTTTATTCAATAAATTTTATACGTAAATTAACTTTTTTTTATTATTATTAATAAATTTTATCGACTTTTTTTGTATAATTACAAGTTACAATTTTTTTCAAATAATTAAAAAGTTACAATTTTTTTCTGAATAATCAAAAAAGTCATAATGATTTATACAATTAACTTATATAATCAAAAAAAAAGCTATCTTTTTAATCAAAAATGAATTATTTGCAATTTTATCGACTTTTTTCATATGATTACAAGTCACAATTTTTTTTGAATACAATTTTTTCAAATAATTAAAAAAGTCACAATTTTTTCTGAATAATCAAAAAAGTCACAATGATTTGTACAACTAACTTTTATAATCAAAAAACACTATCTTCTTAATCAAAAATGAATCATTTACATAATTTCTATTTAAATTTTATGTAGTTATTTCTTTTGACTATTTTTAATGTATTATATTATTATATTATAATATATTGCAAATATTTAAATTCACTTAAGAGCGAAAATTGCAATTTTATAAGATAAATAAAAAAGTTTTAATATTTTTTTTTTGAAAGATTATTAAAAAAAAACTTTTAAAAATATTATTTATTATTTTAATAGTTTTAAACATATTGAAAATTAAAAGTATTTTATCCAATTATTCTTCCTTTGAAGTTGTTCATTTAAATTTATTTGTATTATTTATTTTTCTTATTATGTCTATTATAAAAAGTAATAAAATATATTAAAATTATAAAGATAATTTAAAATCTGAATTATCTTTTGAAAGAATATCTATAGCTTTTAAAATAACAACTGTTTTTATTAAAATGTAAGATAAAAAAAAATAAATAATTATAAATAATAATAAAATAGAAAATATATTATATAGGTCCTTTGCAATAAAAAATGGAAAACAGCTCAAAAAAATAAAAATTAAGTTAATGCTAAATCTGAACATATTTTGACCTAAAAATCATATTTGGCATATAAATGTAAAATTGATTTTTTCTGGCTGTTTCCTTCCTTTCTATTGTAAAGGTCCTATATAATTGTAAACGAGGATAAAAAATTAATATTCTATAATCTTTTACTTTATTAAAAGCTATTTCAGTTAATCTTTAAAAAAATTTTGGAATATTGATAAACAGAACAAGAGCTAAATAACTTTTGAGTTAGCATTTATAAATGTATTTTTAAAATTTTTTATTTATCATAAAAAATAAAATTAAAATAAATTAATAAAACATTATTAATATTTTAATCATATGATTTAATTTCAACTAATAAAATTAAATTTTTAGTCATAAGTTAATAAGTGTTAACAAAAAAATTAGCTAATTATTAGGATCAGAAATGAGGATTTTCTGCGGTAATTAAGAAATTCTGCGTATGATAAAAGTTAATTCTGTGATTTGGCCAGAATTATGCAAGATTTTGAAATTCTGTGAAACACAGAAAATCATCGTCCCCGATTAGGACTTTTATCTATGCTCGCACATCCCCCTTTTTCCTTTTTTTTTCGAGCGCGTCTTTCTTCCGCTCTCTTGTTTCCTTTGTGAGTATTACAGATAATTTATACGAGGCCTGCACTTTAATAGTTCTGTTTTCAACTGTTTAACATGCCCACTACTACCATTCTATTTTGAAGGCAGTCTCTCACTTCCTCATGAACACTTAACACGCCTCACCGTTAAGTACTTTAATCTTTAATTATACTTATCCAACTTTATAAAATCTTTAAAATCTTTGAAACCCTATTTTGCATTACCAAGTAAGTATGTCTGCCTCTGCTGGGGTGAGTCTAATATATTCTTTTCATTGTATCTGTCCTTACAAGCTTTCTATATTCGCTGTTCTAATTGCAAACGTCGTTTTCGCATTGTTCTTGTAGCCGTCTGGAACTGCTACCCCTTTCGGAATCTGGTACAAATAACTGGTCGTACTTTGAAGATGTTAAAGGGTTTCTCTGGAGAATATGTCAGCGAATTGCTGGACGCTAACTGGGAAAAAGAAGGCAAAGAAGCAATAGCTTCTGCCGCGTCTCTACTGAAATTTCACGTCAAAGACCCTGACGCTAACCAGAACATCGATCTCGACGAGAATTTTTTGGAGACAAATACCAACATTTGTATCAAGATTTGGAATCAACAGGAGGAATCCAATCATCGTTCCGCTACCAGATGATACGTGAAAAACTGCATTCCTTGTCATAAATATGCTGTTTTTTCTCAAAACATTCTTGCTATCATCATTATCCCCACTCGCCATACTCATATTTATCCTTCACTACGATGACGTTATCCGCATATCCATCCTTCACGATTATTACCCGTTTTTCTTTCTTTCTATCTTCGCTTTTATTCTCGCGTCGCAAAAAAAAAAGGTTTTCGTTAAATAGGGATCTTTTTGATCAAATTATTGAAACCAATTTTCACCATTTTTACCACACACACGCACTCACTCACTCACACACACACCCTTCGCCCTTCACCCTCTCTGTCATCGCCATCTTTTCACCATTTTTCAACATACACACACACACGCACACACACACACACCCTTCGCCCTTCACCCTCACTATCATCGCCATCTTTTCACCATTTTTCACCACACACACACACGCACATACACACACACCCCCTTCGTCCTTCGCCCTTAACCCAGTCTATCATCGCCATCTTTTCACCATTTTTCTCCACACATCCTTCGCCCTTCGCCCTTCACCCTCTCTATCATCGCCATCGTTACTCCGTATTATTTTATCTATTGAATTATTATAATGTCCATTTTCAACTATTCATCAGCTTACAACGATGATGTCCAGGATATCAATCTCTGGACGCCAGGTAGAAGGTACCCTGACTCGCACACAACGCGTATCAAGATTTGGAATCAACAGGAGGAATCCAATCATCGTTCCGCTACCAGATGATACGTGAAAAACTGCATTCCTTGTAATAAATATGCTGTTTTCTCAACACATTCTCTTGCACTCCTGCTATCATCATCATCTCCACTTGCCACACTCGTATTTATTTTTCATTACGATTACGTTATCATATCCATCCTTCACGATTATTGCCCTTTTTTTTTCTTTTTTACCCTCGCTTCTATTCTCGCGTCGCGTTTTGTATGACAGAAAAAAAAGGTTTTCGTTAAAAAAGGATCTTTTGATCAAATTATTGAAAGCATTTGTTCACCATTTTCACCACACACACATACATACCCTTCGCCCTCCTCATCGCTATCTTTTTATCATTTTTCACGCACACACACAACACGCACACACACCCCCCCCCCTTTATCATCGCCATCTTTTCACAACACACACACACACACGCACCCTTCGCCCTTCTCCCCCTCTATCATCACCATCTTTCACCATTTTTCTCCACACACACACACGCACACACCATTTCACACACACATCACCCCCTCTATCATCATCATCTTTTCACAACACACACACACGCACACACAACATTTTTCACACACACACACACTTCGCCCTTCTCCCCCTCGATCATCGCCATCTTTTCACAACACACACACGCACACACACCATTTTTCACACACACACACACACACAAACACACACCCCCTTCGCCCTTCACCCTCTCTATCATCTCCATCGTTACTTTATATATTGAATTATTATAATGTTCATTTTCAACTATTCATCAGCTTACAACGATGATGTCCAGGATATCAATCTCTGGACGCCAGGTAGAAGGTACCCTGACTCGCATACAACGCTTCGTCCAACAATATAGACACCG